ATTTAATTGTATTATATTTCTATTGTGTCCCAATAAAACAATTTACAAAAATTTGAAGGTTAATATGCATCTGGTCCAGGCCATGGTATTTTCAATTGCCTCATATCCATGTGACTATTGAACATTGAATAGGACAGAACCAAGAAGAATCAATGCATCCTAATTATGGAGCTGGTGAAGAACATTGAAAGCACCATGGACTCTCAAAGGAACAAATAAATATGACTTGGAAGAAGTACAACCAAAATGCTCCTTAGAAACAAGGATGGTGAAGACTGCCTCCCATATCCTGGATATGTTTTCAGGAGAGACCAGTCACTGGAGACTGACATGCTTGGTAGAGTAGAGGGACAGCAAAGAGAGGAAGACCCTCAAGGAGATGGATTGACTGAGTACTGACACTGTGGCTGTAACAATGGGCTCAGATATGAGAGCAATGTTGAGTATGGCACAAGACCAGGTGGTGCTTACTTCTATTGAACAGAGTGTGACAATGGGTAGAAACCAACCTAACAACAACAAAAGCAGATCTCTTTTAGAGCCAATGTTTTTAGTGGACACTTTATTTTTAAAAAATGCACCTTTATGAGATTAAGATGAATGTATCATTGAGAGAACTTCTATACAGCCATCACTGATCACAGTTGTGTTTAAACATCTTTAAAAAATTAATCCATTTATCAATGAACTAAATAGTAGTGATACTTTTGGGCTAACCCGCATACTTTAAATATACAACAAAATGCTATAGTTGTATTACACAAAAGGAAAAGAAGAATTAGAAATGGGGAGCTTATAATAATGAACACAAAAAAGAACAAAATGTTTTAAATGTGTTTGCAGTTTTGACTGTACAACCCTTTTAAAATGTTTAAACTATTGAACTGTATAAATTATGTCAATAAAACTGTTAAAATTAAACCAGAAAAAGAGTACTAGAATCAATATCTTGTAGTAATGGCTATATAGAATCAGAGTCAAAGTCTTTTAAACCTTAAACCATAATACAAATTAATCTAATTGTGTCTTCCAAAATAAGTATCAGTATGGGTAGGTCATGAGCCTGTAATTATGTTTTATAAAACAGTTTTATTTACATATGTTTCACATATTATGTAATTCAATAGTTCAATCATATTAATATGACTTCTATAATCATCTCCAGAATCAACTTTTGATTATTTACTTCCTTCTTGTATTCAATATCATGAGGGCTTCAACTCCCCCAACTTTCCTCAACATATCCCTAAGGAACCATCACTGTACTCCCTATCTTCATAGCTCTAAAGATCCTGGATTTCCTATATACAGAAAAACATGGAAAATAAAATACATCTAAACAAACAAAAACAGCACTGCATTCAGCATGATAGCAAGGCTTTTCATGTGCCTGGTCTATGGTCAGAGGGGATTCACTGGAGGCTTACATCCCGGAGTAGGCCCGGTAAGTCAGTGGTTCTCAACCTTCCTACTGCCATGACCCTTTCATACAGTTCCTCATGCTGTGGTGACCCCCAACCATAATATTATTTTTGTCGCAACTTCAGAACTGTAATTTTTCTACTGTTATGAATCGGGTGGCCCCTGTGAAAGGGTCATTTGACCCCCAAAGGGATCATGACCCACAGGTTGAGAACCACTGCTGTAAATGGATTTTGGGCTTCCACTGTCACAGCCTCTTGAAAATCAAGGGTTCACAATTTAAACTCTTATGCCATTTCCTTCTTTGGTTTGGGATTTTTTTCATTCACAATCTTTGCATCACACAGGCTTGTGTGCTTCTTCTGGGTGGGCCCAGTTGATGCCTCACTCAGATAGTTGCTCCTTTGAATATAATCCTTTAAGACGCCAGGCACTATTCTTTCTAATAGCTAAGTATCATCTAGTTTCCTTGCCACATCTCACGATAGCACTCATATCTTCAGTGATCTCTTCATGGGGTGAGCATGCTGATTTAACAGAACTAATTGTAACAGAACTAACAGACTGGGGCTAGAATGAAATGTGAGCCCAAAATCTATTCACATATCTATTATTTATATATGTCTCTAGTTCACATTAAAGACCTCATTATCATTCTAAGTTAGATAACATTATCCATCCTCCTCCTGAGGCCTAAGGTAAGTCTATTGATAGTGTCATCAATTTAGTCAATGGTGTAGACTTTAAAACAATGTTGAGAAAAGAACATTTTGCAATTATAGACTGGCTGCAAATCTCTATACACCAATCGTTGACGTGTACAGATTAGACTCTTTAGGGACTAGACACTATTTACAGAAGCAGTGGATAGAGCAAAACTTCCAATAGCATTCATTCACAACACCAGAAACACATCTACCAGATCATCTACAATTAACTTTTAGGTAATTGTTTACCATGTACTTATATTTTATTTTGTGATCTGATGTAATTTGCTGTGTGTTATAAGTCTAAATCTCTGTGACGTTAATGATGCAGCATTAGAAGCAGCTGTGCTAATGAGGTAGAGGACACTACATGGCAGCATTATATTTTATTTTGTCAATTTCTTTTTAGATTATAAATAGTTTTATAAAGTGAATAGAAATCAAAGGAATTTAATTGCTACCAAGAAAGAGCCAGGAGTAGCGCACGTTCTTTTGTTGCAGTCTCTACTTTGGGAACTTTGTAGAGCCAAGAGAAAATCAATGACAAGGACATTACCCTAGAATCCACATCGAGGGGAAGTTTTCCCCTCCAGGTGGCTCCCTGGATTCAAATTTCTAACCTCCTGATCCATGAGCTAACACATTTTTGTTTGTTAAAATTATTAAATTTTGGTATTTCTCTTATGGCAATATTAGATAATACTCTTCCAAAAGTTCTATATTAGAAATGTTACAAATGTGATTATGGTGAGCATTTTTAACTGAAACATGGGAGTAAATATTTTACCATGGAAGTTATTTTAGTTTATTTCTGTAAATTGGCATCTTGATATAATTACAGAGCAATATATAAGCTTATAAAAATTGAATTAAAACCTATTTTCTACTATTGAACTATAGCAATCATTTAATATTTTGCCTTATTTACTCTACATTTAAATAATTCAGGAAATAGATATATGTGTGTATATCTATGCACATATGTTTATATATATGTACATGTATATCTATATATTTAATATAAGTTTGATGCCCCTTATTGTTAAATAGTTCAATATGCGTTTTCTAGGAACAAAGACATTTTCCTACATAGTCATAATATAATTATGTACAGCTCTGTATTCTCTGAGTTCTTTTTTATTTTCAAATTCCATTTCACTGTTTTAGAATACCTATTTCTACTTATCAACTTTGTACATTTGCATCCCATATCTTCAGTTTACTTCATATATGGGGAAGCTTAAAAAGTTCATAGATAGAACAGAAAGAAAATGGAATTTATCCATGAACTTTTTGAAGTCTCCTCCTATTTCTTTTCTTATGTAGATCAAAATTATCCACTGCTTCCAATAGTTTCTTAATTTTTATAACTGTTTTCAGCAAGAACAATTATAGCATACAAATTAATTTTTTATGACTGGAAGTGGAATATTTATATATTAAAATGTTGATTCCTAGTCTGCACTAATACATCACAGATACAGTATGGGGAAGCAAATCTTAGATGGAGTATAAATATGGATTAGTCCTAAAATCATAACAAAGATACAATGTTATAAAGTTTAATGTCTTTGCGTGTTTATTTCAATATCTCTTCTTTAAAGGTCAGGTGGAATACAGTTTGGCTGTGGTGAGAGACCATTGCTATCAAGCAAATTTTAGTATTTAAATTAGCAACAAAAAAAATGAAGGAACTGACAAAAACTGTCTGTCAAAGATAAGTTTACAAGCTTGAATTCACTATTCAGGTGGAATAGTGCCAACACAAACAAACAAAAACTAATTTCACTGCCACTGAGTCAATTCTGACTCATGGCGACCCTACAGCATACAGTAGAACTGGCCTGAGGTTGCCCATGGCTGTAACTCTTCCCAGGCATAGAAAGCCTCTCTGTCTCCCATGGAGGGGCTAGTGCTGTTGACCTTGCAGTTCGCAGTACAACTAGAAACACCACTCCAGCAGGGCTCCTATTAGAATCGAACTATAATTCACATATATAGGTGACATTAACCCCTACTATTCAGTCCCATTTATCTTGAGCCAGATGCTCTCTAACGTAGTATGAAGCTTTATGTAAACTTAGTGTTCAAGAGACAATAAAGAGAAAATGATTATTTTGAATTCTATATCTATCTGAACTCTAAACTATCACATTCCAACTTTTCTTGTGGTAGATATTGCAAATTCATATGCATAGGAGCTATCAATTTTATATAAACATCTATTGCAGCTTTAGTTTCAGGATGGAGGTCCACCTCCTATTTCCTGTATTTTAAATGTTGCATCAATGTATTCAATATCAAGTATTATTGAGAAGGCACCCCTAGGTACCTTTGTAGCACAGTCCTCTGTGTAACAGGAGACGCAGAATGATAAGTGAATGGGCACTTATTTGCCACTAAGGGCTTAAAGAATAAAGGAACATCCTGAGACAGGGTCAGGCCGAGGAATAGTATGATGGCACAGGTCATGGCACAGGACTGAGAAAGTGCTTCCTTCTGTTCGGAACCACTCGGCGGCGATACTGAATGGCAGCAGCCACAGCCTGAGGAATTCCAGAAAGACCTGCACACATTCCCCAGCACATTCAGTGCCGAAATCACAAAGCTTTGGGAAAAGTCACCTGTGAATTATCAGCCAGAAAAGATTGTGAAAAAAACGAGACTGAAATTGTAAAGGTTATGGATGAGTCACATGATCTTTCTGGACAGTCAGGAGACCTTTCATATCTCTGTCATGACTTTTGATAATGCTTAAATTGCTTAAATATGCAAAATCTCTAGGATTTCTGTTGAGTAGTTCCGATAATCTTTGAATGAATTCTGTCATTTAACTTTAAATCTTGATTTTTAAAAAGGAGATTCAGTTACCCTCACACACGGGCTGCAGTCCTGACCAGGATCCATTAAGCAAGCACGTTCGTTCAGGAGAGCCCCTCAGCTGGTAACCCATCTCACAGGAAAAGCGAAGAAGGCTTTTTGTCTTAAATTCATCTCCAAGTCTAGATCCATGTGCTGGGGTCCCTGGATCACCGCAAAATCCAGGATTATTTCCTATTGAATATAAGCACATATAACAGTATACAATTTTGTTAGATTTGTTTAAAATAGAATGATTACTTGTGATCTTTCAGTCATTCTTAAGTTAGTGACATGACATGATATGTGCAACCACCTGTAGTCCTGTGCCTGCGATCTTTGAGCTCCTTGTTGCAGCTAATGTGTTAATCCAAGGGCCTCCCTTTGCTTGACCCCATTATTTCATGAGGCATACTGTCGTTTCCAAGGACTGATTTCTCCTGATAATATGTCAAAATGTCTAGATGAAATACACTCTCACCCTCCTTACTTCTAAGAAGCATTCTGGGCTTTTATTCAACCCAGATTTATTTGTTCTTCTGGCAATCCATTGTACATTCAATATTTTTACCAACATTATAATTTGGATGCATCAACACTTCTTTGTCTTCCTGGTTTAGTGTACAGATTTTACATGCATATGAAGTGACTAAACATATCATGGCTTGGGTAAGGTACAATTTACTCTTGAAAGCAGTAGTTCTCAACCGTCCTAATGCCGTGACCCTTTAACATAGTTCCTCATGTTGTGGTGACTTCCCAACCATAAAATTATTTTCGTTGCTACTTTATAACTTCAGTTTGCTACTGTTATACATTGGGTGACCCTTGTGAAAGGGTTGTTTGACCCGCAAAGGGGTCATGACCCACAGGTTGAGAACCGCTGCTCTAGGTCTTTTGCAGCAGATTAGCTCAATGTCGTATTACATCTGATTTCTTGGCTGCCGCACCGATGGGTCTAATTCTTAATTCAAATCAAATGAAAAATTTAAGAACTGCAATTTTTTTCCAAAATAAAAATAACCCATTCAAATGGTTATGAGACTAAAAATTATTATTTGGTAGAAGTAAAGCACTGGAGATGGTGAATTCAGAAATTAAGTATGAATAATAAAAGGGAAATGAAGGTTAGTGTATTGGGGATATAAAATATCTAATGAGAGATTTGCTTTTTCTAAATTATGTCTGCAATTGCTGATTCAGTATATGTTATCTATTTAAGAAATATTTGTAGGAAAAATTAGTACTATTTATTTCAAAGATGATAAATGTAACCTGTTCATTATAAAGACAGACCAAAGACAAAGAGATGAGAGGAAGCACAGTGAAGGAATGCAGACTAAGTAGGGACAGACTGAAGCCAAAGTATGCATTGTGGCAAGGGGATCAAAAACCTTTCAATATTTCTTAAGGAGGAAGTTTCAACTGATTATTGTTTGATGCTAATTAAAATGATGATGGGGGTAATGGTATATAAAAATAGCTAGAAATGGAATACATTTCAAATGCTTGTATAATTCTGCAATATCCCAAAGAACATATTCCTTTACCTGTACAATGGGGCAGCGCTCCGCTCCAGTGACTGTCTTCCTGACAAACTCGGGTGTTGTTGCCGATAAGATTCCGGCTTCCTTTACATGAGTAGTGAACTATGGATCCATAGGTAAACACTTCTCCAGTTAGGATCGCATTGGCAGGAACCCCTGGGTGTCCACATGATATAGCTTATAGGGGGAAAGTGATTTACAGGTGAGTACAAGGGGTCTCCAGGTTATGAATGTTTGATTGACATACAAGCTGCAATTCCAAACCAACCCCTGTAAAATTATTATATTCAACATTTAAGGTGCATACAATAGTTCATAAGATGGATGTTACTTTTCAAAGAACAGCACAATGCTATTATTATTACCAGATTATTATGTAAAGATGTTTTGGTGTATCTTGAGGAGATGGGGAGCTTTTTTCTTTATTTTTTAATGAATAGAATGATATGACATGTATTAAATATTAAGACATTAGTCTAAAGTTAGATATGAACTGTGCTTAACTGTTCCATGTTATGCACACGTTTTACTTAAAGACAGTAACAGTTGGGTCATCCAGGGACTATCTAGACATCATTCCCTTTAAATGCTTTTAGTTGGTGAACGTCACATAAACATTCATGCAAAAATCTCCTATGAATGAAAAATACCAATGTATCCTGGCATATTCTTTTAAGAACCTGTACATGAGCAAATCGATTTACCAATGACTATATTTCCCTCCATGTAGTGCTCCATAGTCATAAATTGCTAAATATAGGGAAATATTTTCTCCATGTTAGATCTTAATGTAATTTTGCTTGAGGTAGGAAGTATGTCTCAAAAAAAAAAACCACCGCATTCTGGAATTTAGATGAACACAGGGGTTCTTCTTTCTGCGAGGTTCTAAATTAGGATGGAGAATGGACATCTTTTTAATGCTATGTGGAAACAGCTGACTGGACGGAGTACTAATGGAGTACTCAAAAACCATTGATTTCACATCCTAGAGTAATTGCATTTGGTCACTAGCAACCCCAAAGTGTTATCAACCAGAGGTAGATTTAAAGGCTTCGTGGCATTCCCCGTCCCCTGAGTCACATAAGCCCTTTCTGTTTTTTCACATGGACATTCATTTCTGTCCTGGAAAACCAGATTGTATCTATATAGAGTTCTAAGAAGAAGCCAATTAGATGTGAATCAATAAAATGGTTGGCAAATGACTATTACCAGGTGATAGAAAAGGAGAAATAAAAAATCAGTGAAACGATAAAAAGCAAATATAGAGTGGAAGCGTAGCTGCTATAGAGCATGTAAAAGTAAAATACCCCTTTGAGATCTTTCTATTCCCACATTCATGGTAATTCCAATTGTTAATGACAACAAGTGGTACAAACTAGCCACCTAGGAAAATAAGAGTCAGTGAAAACCCGGTTCCTGGAGATGGGAAACACATTAGCTTCATTGCAAAAAATAATGGAAGTCTCACAAAAGAGCACAGGGAAAATTTAAAAGAAATGTTTTTCTTTTAAAACAGAAATGTTAAAATCTAATTTATCAGAAAGGAAAAAAAAAATCCAGGTGAGGTTTAGAAAATCAGAAGTCAAGTAAAATTTGATGATGAATATAATACATTTTAAATTCTTTTTTTGACACATAGGCTTAGAGTTAGCATTTGAAAGTTATTAATTTCTTTTGCCATGAAAATTGATTGCATTGTTTTAGTGATGACTTGAGACATGTTGCAGTGCGGATCCGCAGGGATTATCAAAGCCTGTCCTTGCCGTGAAGGACCTCTTGGAGTACAGAAACCCATTTCAATGGTGAGACTAGCAATGTGCAATTATGACTCTGTCTTTACAGAGTCAACTCATCATTCAATGTCATTTCCCTCTGACTATATGCATATTTGATAAATACTAATACATGTGATCTGACGAACAAAATCTTATTTCTATCTAATTTTAGGAAGACAAAATAACACTTTTCCTAAGTTTCTTGGCTATTTCTTTTGAGCTAAAGTATGTAATCAAGTCAAAGAAATTAAGATTTAGCATTGGGTAAAGTCTTGTATTCTTTACAATCAACCTGGAATAAATACAGTGATAATAGAGTTTTGAAGGTGACCATGGTAATCTATAGGGGCCTTGGGGCTCAGTGTTGAAAGTGCTCAAAAGGATAGCAGTATACAACTACCTGTCTGGTATATTCCTTGTAGAGGGATGTGGCAGTCTGCTTTTTTAAAGTTTATACTCTTTGAAACATTACGGTTTCAAAATACATTGTCCATAGAGTTACAAGGATTTAGTCAACTCCTAGCAGTGGGTGGGTGGTAATTTATACCTCGTTTGTTTGTTTGTTTTCTTTTCAGAAGAACTGCTTCATCCTTTAATGTAATCTATCCTCTCCTGGTTTAACCTTATGATTCAAAATGAAGTTACTGTCAAGACACTATATATATATTAGTCACTACTCTTGTCTTTTTAAAACAAATTTATTGGCATATAATTTACATATCACATAATTCAATAATTCAATCAAATTAGAGTTTTACAATCATCAGCACCATTTTAGATCATTTTCGACTTTCTTGTAGTCATTGTTGTTAACTCTCCATTTCCCCATCCTCCTCTGCCATACCACCAAGAAATAATTCATCCAATTGTCTCTGTAGATTTACTTATGCTGGGTTCACATACAGGAAAACATACATAACTGGAAACAAAACTGAACAATGATAACAAAGTAAATCAGAGAAAAATCTCAAATTTAACAAGCAGAAACGATTAATAATAAACTAATTTAAAATTGGTCAAAAAGCAGATCAAATAATAGCGTGCTCGATTTTAAACTAATTGCATTTGCATTAATCCACTTCCTAATGCACTTTGCATAGAAACTATCATTGCTACCAAGTAGATGCTGACTCCTAGCAAGCTTTAAGACAAGATGGGTTTCCAAGTAAAAGAGTTTCATGATAGTGAAAGTGAAAGTATTCATATCCCCTGTCTATGGTCACATCTGGTTCAAAGGAGGCTTAATCCATGCGTATTTCCCCTTCACTTTTTTTTTAACCTGAAAAATTTTTTAAATGGGTGGCCCACTATTGACTGGCTCTGAAAACCATACGAGGCCACTCAGTGTACTCCACCCGCTGGCAACAGATGCTAGATTACTAGAAACCTCAGCAAAAGTAGACCCATCAGAGGAGATTGAAGCTGGGAGATGTTTAGTTTTGGACCACCACCAGCCCTGCGTGAACTGTGTGGGAAGACCTGTGTGCTAAACTAAATAAGGTAAATTAGCAATAGTGAGCTAAGAGGAAGGGAGAGTAAGTATAAATGCTTTACAATAACATGGGATGCTTTGTCTCGCTGATGAGGCCCCAATGTCCCAGAAAATATATGAACAGTCCAGGCTTATCCCTGTCTCTCCTTCCCCCTACTTTAGCTAGGGGACTTGAGCTCTTGTTTTCTGGCCAATCTACTTGAAGGTATTTCTGGAAGGACTGATACAATTTGTGGTCAGTGGAGCAGAGATAATAAAAGGCCTTTTTGAATATGTGAAAATAAATTGTTAGTGATACTATATTAGGGCTTTGGAGCACAAGAACCCAAAATCATACACTTACCCAAACACTTCGGTAAAGAACGGTCCCATAAGCCATTTGCCATGCAGGTTAATGCAGATGATCCCAACAAGTAAAATCCCTTCTTGCAATGATACATGACACTGATTCCATATTCAAAATTCTCAGGGGAATTCTGTTGTCCATGACGAATAGCATTTTCCACAAAGCCTGGATCTGAACAGTTCACCACTGGAAAATAAAGCATTTTGTGATTCTTGTAGATGCAGCTATAAGTTCTAAGCAGAATGTCGCAGAAAGAAAGGAAGACTCTTTACCATTGGAGAATGCTCATAAATGACAATATCTGAGCCTTATGATGACATCCTGCTCCTCTGATGAGCTCTGCTTAGTACTTTTTTTCATTATACCTCAAACCCTGTCAAACTTATAAATTTGCTGGCTACCATAGCAATTTTGACAACACAGGGTTAATTTCTTTTGGCTATTTCTTAATAGTGGGTTTGATGTGAAAACCAAAATTCTTTTTCAAAGTTAAGTTTTTAGGTTATAAAAGATATTAAAAAGAACTGGCTGGAGATAGCCTCATGTAAATATTTTTACTCTTAATATTTAAGGACATGTCACACAGTGGTCAATTGCTTTTACCCCTCTACAGGCATTACATCTTCCATATGTATATTTAAAGGAATTTCTGTTTACGTGGCTGATATAAATAAAATTGAAAATTATTCCATAGACACTTAAGAGAAATTTAAACCAAGCCAACCTCTGATTTAAGCCCCTTCCCCATTAGGAACAGTCCCACAGCGAGGCAGTCTGCTGTGGCATGTAGGGCATGCTCTGGTTAATCTGAATGGCACTCTATTAGCCTGAATGCCTATTGGCATCTGTGAGGGAATTAGCAATGTGCTCTTCCAGGTGCAGAGGAAAAGAAAGAGCCCCTGATTAGCTCATGCTTTGACCCACCACACCAGTGAATGAGACAGCTGCGATGGGGGCTGCAGTCTTTCCAGATATTTCTGGATCAGAAAGGGTTGTGCAACTAATTCTCAGGCAGCCACTGCCAGTCCTGCGTCCCAAAGGCTTAAGGCAAGTCCCTTATGCAATATGTGCATTTGATTTCTTCTCTGTAATAAGAGGGAGGCATAGAGCAGAATGAAAAGATTTTAAAGATGCCCTTTAGTGCTGTAGAATAATATCATATGATTTATAAAAGAACCCGGAGCTTATAGAAGAAAGTCTTCTTTGAGGCCCAAACAAACACATTTGTGGAGCATGGCTGCCATGAACGGCATCCATGGTAAAACTGTAACCAAACCCTCTGAAATAGTAGAAATTACTCACTGAGTGAAAATCTAATAAACTTGAAAGATGGATTATTTATATAACCTGAAGAACAACTGCACAGACTCCTTCTCCCACTTGGAGCTGCTTGTCAAGCAGAGGAGACCAGGAACAGGTTTTCCTATACTACCTCTATACTTCCACAAGGATCAAGGCTTTTCCTTGACCCAAATGCTAAAGAAGTCTTAGTGTTCAATTTGTGATTATGTTCCTCCTAGGAGGCAAACCCCACCAAAAATATATATCAAATACTTTTTATGGTCTGAGTAGAGGGAGCCACTAAGGCAATATGAGTGGACAGCATTGAGAAATTCCTCTACTAAGGAATCCCTATAGATAATAAATAGTCCACCGGACTCAGCATGAGCAACACCGAGCTTCATTTTTTGTCCCAGATTTTAAGAAATGGGAAGTATAAAAACCAGTAAGGGCTTGGAGGTCAGAAGAAAAATCAGGATGAAGTTTTTGTTCTGTTTTGTTTTGTTTATAATGGAAGAAGGAGGAAAGTTGTCAGAGAGGCAGTTATTATTGCATTAACAATGTGATCCTACTGCACTTTTATCCTTACAGGCTGTGTTAGTCCGGGTAGACTAGAGAATCAAAGTCATAAACACGCATATGAATGTAAGAGAGAGTTTTATATAAAGGGTAATTATACATTAAGAAAGCATCCCAACCCAGTCCAGTCCAAGCCCATAAGTCCCATATTAGCCTATATGTCTGATACCAATGACTCACGAAACACATACAATGATGATGAGTGCACGGTGACCACAGGCCAGTGGGTAGAGAGTCTTTGGATCCAGTGGCATTGTAAGCATCTCAGTGCTGGCAGGAGTCTCCACATGGCTTCTCCAGTCCCCAGAGGTCTGGATGCATCAGGATAGGTCCATGTGACTTCCCCAGCTCCCAGGGTGTAGCACCATGTGTCTTGTCAGAAGAGCGTCATCTCGGGGAGTGAGCTGAGAGACAGTCTCTAATGCTGGAGTTCCCAGAATTCTCAGGAGAAGGCCATGCCCACACAGAGGCCTCATTGGTTATATCTGGGTTGACAGGCCAGACTCCACCCCTCCACTTGTAATCCTCTCAAATTGACACCACACAGGCTGAGACCCAAAATGTTTTCAGAGTTTGAGCAAGATTTGAGGATGTTGCCTCAGAAGATTTGAGTTTTATACCCAATAGATTTCATAATATAGATGGGAAGTTTACATGATTCTTCACCATGGTGGCAGGGCCATAGGATAGAAAAACAACCATATTTGTGACAATTACTCTTGAATTTTAGATTGCACTACAATTACCTACTCAAAGCTCACTGCCATGCAGTCAATGCCAACTCAGAGCAACCCCTGTGGGCTTCCCAGACTGGACACATTTATGGGAATAGAAAACCCAGTCCATCTCCCGCGGAGCTTCTGGTGGTTTTGAACTGCCAACCATGCGGATTGCAGGTGAACAATTATATAACAGTGTATTAAAATGACTAGTTCCAGCCTCTTACCCATTTTTTTTCACTAATTTATAACCCTTAAAATATTCATTAATAAAAAAGTACTTACACATGGTGAACATTCTATGAACGCTCACTTGAAAACTAAAGGCATCCTTAAATTGGATCAGGTACACAAATAAAAATCTGCTAATGCAGTTTGTAATCCTATCTAGAAATATAGTCAGAAACAGCATCTATTTATAGTCCTCTCTACTTCTTTCTGAGGCTCCATTGTAAAATTGAACTGTATCTATCTCTTGGGAGAATAATTGGGCAGAAGTAATTGATTTACTTAGAAAAGACCGAAATATTTCATAGCATTGTTGCATGTGGATAGGTTTTGCCATATGGTGAGTGGGTTATCTGCCAGAATAGTTCATTAATGGCCAATCAATACGGACTAACAGTGTTTCCATCTTCATACCTCCTCCTGTTTTTGTGCATGATTCCTATCTAAAGACTTAATGGACTGAGACTTGTATGACTGATAGGTGACAGCTGTCAGTGTGCTAAGTATAATGAGGACTTGAATTGCATAAACTGTCTTGTGAAATGACCAATGAAGTTAATACTGTTAAAACATAACAGACTAAGTCAGAAAATGTTGAAACTGCTTTCCAAACTTGGTTTATAATGGAATAAGGTAATGCATCAGAGAGAAATTTTAATAGGTTCAATTATGAAAGCTTACATCTCATTTTCACACCTTCCTCCTCATTGCTACAAGACATGGACTTGATTGCCATCTTTTAAAAAAAAGTATATTATTGGGGGCTCGTACAATTCTTATCACAATCCACACATACGTCCATTGTGTCAAGCACATGTGTACATTCGCTGCCCTCATGATTCTCAAAACATTTGCCTTCTACTCTAGCCCCTAATATCAGTTGCCCATTCTCCCCCTCCCTCCCCACTCCCCCCCCACCCTCATGAACCCTCCATAATTCACAAATCATTATTGTTTTGTCATAAGTTACACTGTCCGACGTCTCCCCCCCACTCTCTTTGCTGTCCATCCCCCAGGGAGGAGGCTATACGTAGGTTCTTGTAATCGGTTCCCCCTTTCTACGCCACGTTCCCTCCACCCTCCAGGACTCGCCCCACTCTCCACTGGTCCTGAAGGAGTCATCTGTCCTGGATTCCCTGTATTTCCAGTTGCTATATGCACCAATGTACATCCTCTAGTCTAGCCAGATTTGTAGGGTAGAATTTGTAGGGTAGGATCATGATAGTGGGGGTGGGGGGATGGGGTGAAGCATTCAAGAACTAGAGGAAAGTTATATGCTTCATTGTTGCTACCCTACATCCTGGTTGGTTCATCTCCTCCCCACAACCCTTCAGTAAGGGGTTGTCCAGTTGCCTACCTACCAATGGGCTTTGAGTCTCCACTCTGCACTCATCCACCTTTACAATGATATGATTTTTTGTTTTAACCTGTTTCTCTTTGGTTTTGCCATGTTTTAACCCTGTATATCAAATGAAAAGTTACCAGTTAGACAAAATTTTTAAAATACCAATATATCATATATTTGGTGATGTGGGGAAACTTGTGGAGAAGTGGTGGTGACTCCAAATGTATTCCAAAGGTTTGTGTACTTGTGAAAGATAATGCAAAAAAGAGAAATAGATACGTCCTCAAGGTCACAAAAATAGTTACACCGCAACTATTCAGAATCTATAAAAGTTACACAAATATTTCTTAGTGACATGGATTCCACATACATTCTTATATTATTGGTGTGTCCCTGTCTGAGATCTTAGTTCTCAATACTATTTGTAGGTTATGGTTCAAGGATTTTCTACCGTAGGTACATTCCATACTGTCAGAGAAGTCTGATGTGAGGTGGTCAAGCTAACAGATAAAAATAGATGCAAATGCTTTGTCTTCGTTACTATTAGTTGCTATTGAGTCATCCCAATGCATGGCATGCAAAGCTGATCTGTCTTATAAGGTTTTTGAAGGGTGTGACCTTTGAAAAGCAGACTGCCAAGCCCGCCTTTGGGGGAGCCTGGCGTGGGCTCCACCTGCCAGTATTTCCGCTACAGGTTGCGGACTTGGCCATTGCAGCACTCAGGCAATGTCAACAAGCTGCTACTTCCTATGATTCACACGTCAAATCAATTACTGTATTTCCATTCAAATGTCCTTGAGCTGAGGAATACTCTCTTTGATCCAATCATTGGTCTCTGCAGTTAACTTGATTAGCAAAATGCACTGAAATGCCATTTTTAGAAACCTTACAGTTAATCCACTGAACAGTCTTACTTAAGCTAAATGAAATACATTATATTGTTACATTATATTACATTAAATGCAATATGTTGTTCTAGTATTTTCCCATTTCATTTATGCATTAGATTTAATAAGTCATGATAAGAAAATGTT